CTTTAAAATGAAGAAATCTCAATTCAGTTTTGAGCTCTGAAAATATCTACTTGCATGACTACCCAAGTTTCTGTGACCTTAATTTGCTTATTTCAAAACAAGAGATTGAATTACATTGTTTCTGGGATTCCGTATAACACTAACATTCTCTTTGTATAATTCTTTCACTGTTTATATTCTGTGTACTGTGTATTTTATTGCATATTTTGTACAGTGTTGTTTTTCATTTATACCTTCTTGTCTGTTTCTATTTTTTCTACTCGAATTTTTCCCCATATATTACTGCTGAATTAAACTTTTAATTCATTACTTATTACTTAAAAATCACCTTTCTCCAGAAGCTGTTGTTATTCCCATTGAAAATTAAATCCTGTCTAAATTTCTTAAGATCTTCATAAACTGACTGCAAGCTAATTTTCTAACCAACATTTTGCCATATTTGACTTTTATCTCTAGTATTTCCCTTTGACTGTTTCCCCCTACCTCTCTTCAACTATATTAATTGAACATAAATAAAATTCAAGGTGTGATTTGGGTATGCTTTTCCAAATATGATCCTTTCTTATTAACTGTTGTTAATTCAGTCCATAGACTATCAAAGGGCACTTTACTCTAAAGTGAATAGGTGAGTGTCCAAAACACATTAAATGAATGGTGTAACTACTGGAAACTTTGAGTTTTATAAGTCTGCTGAAGAACTGATTTGTAATTTCCACAGTTCACTTAGTACACTGCCCCTGTGATGCATCCTGTCTTGATCATAATGTCCCTTTATCTGATTTTAGACAAATTACAATAAGCTCTGGGGTCAGCTAGCTTAACTTTGTGCTGGTCTAGAATAGATATTATCCCAACATGCTCATGTGTCACAGCCCCATAACAGCTCAGTTAAGTCCTTGTGAACCCGTGCACAGGACTTCAGTGATAGATGAATTCTTCCTTCTGTATTCCAAGTGCTGCCACAAGGTTATCTCCATCCTGTCTGCTGCTCATCCCAGCCCAGAACCCCATAGTGTATTGCATTTTTCTTGACAACAGGGCTCCCATTTGACTCTTTCTTATGATCTTCCCTATCTGCTGAAATATCTCCCTTTCATGTATGTTGTCTGTCTTTTATCCTTAGTCTTAAACATGTCAATCATATTTAAGTTTCTTATCCGATAGTGCCGACAACTGTATCATCTCTGAGTCTGGCTACGTTGATTGTTTTCTCTTGACAATGAAAGTTTTTCTTGCTTTTTTGGTGTTTGTGGTAACTTTTTATTGAATATTGGATGTCCTGTCATCAGCATTGACTGACACAAATAGTATTTATGCTTGAAAATGTGCACACTTCTTGTTCTGTTGGACTCTGTGTTTGGCAGGAGATTAATCAAGGTGGTAGGTAAAGCAGCAGGCAGTCATATCTATGAGGAATTTGTACTGCTGTCATTCCATTATCCATGTAAAACAATCAAAAAGAAGGCTAATTGTTCAAAATTGATCAGTGAAACTTGAACATATTGTTCAAATCTGAGGGTCATGCCTCATTAGATTTACTCATTTAATACAATGACATTTCATACTCTGGACCTTTAGAATATATCTTTAAAATGTCTGTCCTTTCATGGAATCTTTGAGGACCTGGGAAGGAAAATGTAGGGCCAGTACCTCGGTTGACAGCTGATAAAGTGTTACTAAATCTGAACATCTAGTGAAAAATGAAAACTGCTCAATAAATAAGTTTATAGGTAGGAGGTGGTAATTATGTCATTTCATTATTTTCAAAAAATAAAGTTTAAAGATGTATTCATTTGCAACATGTTACTTATTGTTGGGTAATAAAATCCTGCTTATTTGTGGTTTTGTTTCTGTTATTTTGCAGTAAATATTAAATAACAATGAAAATTACATTTAATAAAATCCTCAAAATATCTTCCAGATATTTACATCTTATGTATCTGTGTGTACCTGTTTAATAACATAATATGTCTTTATTATTAAGTACTGTATTTGTCACAAATTTTCTTGAGGAAATTGGGATATTTAATCTTCATGTTATTTTCAATAATGGACATTTAAAATACTTCTCTAAATATAAGAACACTTCTTTTTGATTATAAAATAGAATTATAAGAGTAATACGTTTTTCTACATTAAAATGCCTTACTTTCTCTCATCAATATATGTATTATTGCTATTTGAACATTTTAGACTTATTAACTCACTTGATTCTAGATAGTACTAGTATTTTTTAATAAGGTAATTTACTTTTAATGTGAAGAATTTACATTTAATGGAATAGAAATGCTGTGGGAATAGCTATTATAATGTCATAAAATAATAAAACATAAATTTCCTGTTTGTGAACAATACTTTTTTTACTCATTTACCATAATTTCCATGTCAGGTATTTTGTGTCTTGTAATCCTCTTCATCTTGTAAGCAATGCTAAAATAGTATAAACTCAAGTTTTTAAAAAAATTAAACTATTTTATGTTCTGGTGAGCATGAAAATTATAGATTTGAGTCATAATATATATTTGCTAAATTAATTACTCTAAAATGTCTCTGTTAAAATTTTTAGCATATATTTATTACTTTAATTGTACAGGTAATAATCAGAAAATCTCTAGACATTTTAAATATTTTATCAAAAGTATAGTGCTTCTGCTGTTAATCAACTTCCTGTATTACCCAATATGTGTATATTCTACTATGGTTCTTTCTAGTTTTCATTATTTGTTAACCAATTTTCATTTTTGCAATCAAAAAATCATGTAACTTTTTGTTGAGAGAAAAATACACAATTTAAAACATTCACTATAGTATTCAAAAACACCTTTTTCTAAGGAGTTTTTTTTTTAAAAGGATGTCTCCTAAGGAGTGACCTGTTTGCTTTCTAAATATTAGTATATTTTTAAGAAGATAGAACATAAGAACACATTTGAAATAATTCTCTGTATTTTACCAATCAGATATTTCAATTATTAAAATAATAATTATTAAAATAATGCCAAAGAAGTGAAATTATATATCCTAATATTTTTCCTCTTGGAAAAAATGCTTAATAGAATCACAGTAAATAAAATTTTGGATAAACACATGAAATATTAGACTGACTTTCTATTGGGATCACCATAATTTTCAACAAAGTTTTGTTACGACATGTTGTAAGAGATAAGTTTATTATTAATTTTAGGTAATAAGAAATCTAGAAATATCATAAAGATGGGTATCTCCAACATAGATATTAAGAATCTAAGAAGCATATCTTTGATTTTGTTCATCTATTGTGAAGATATTCAAAGATCTGTACCTTACACGCATTTAACAAACTATCGAGTCCATTTGTTACGAATGAAAAGTGTTCTCTCAAACCTAAATAAGGGATCAGGAAAAAGACTAATTATAATAAAGTAAAAATCAAAATTAACAAGCAACTATAAAGCAGAGACACACTATGGAGGTGGTGGTGGAGAAGGGAGTATGTTCAAAACAAGGGTGGTGGAAATTGTATGGGGACTATAACCAAGATGAAAATGCATATATTGTGCAAAAATGAAAAATGATGTAAAAAATATAAAATAAAAAATAAAATAAAATATATTGACACATTAAAAAAAATAAAAGTGTCGCTCTTTAAAATTATTTTTCAGGAACAAAAAAGAATTGCATTTTTATACTATCAGCTTGCCTTTTTCATTTTTGATGTATTCTGGTTATACTTACATAAAATAGCAAACTTATCATAGGAAATCAATCACTTTATTGCACATACACTTAAGAATACTTAAAAATTATTTGACTTGTATGTCACCTCTCATATTTAAAATGCAAGATAATCATGAGCTAGGAAATGGAATAAACCCAGTATTCACTTTCTAAAGTTATCTAATCTAATGCCTACTAGTACAAAATTGTATACCATATAATTAATTATATTTGGGAAATTGTGTCCTGATTTTTCTAATTTTTTTATTAGCTAGAATTTTTCATTATCAAAAAATAAGACTGAGAGAATTTATAGGTAAGGTGGAAGTCCTTGAGATATTAGACCTGAGACAGACTTTACTGTTTATAATATATTTCCATTTCCATTTCTGTGTTTACAATTAGGTGGGTAGGTAATTGATTTGAAGTATACTTTGGAGTATGTATGTATTGCTTTGGAGTTCTAGATCCATAACTAGTATTTTGAAGGCTGATAGAATAAAAAAAAAAATGTATTGATCATGTTAAGTGTAGGAGAATTATACTAAACTCCAGGGATGTAAAAATCAATGCTTGGTTGCTTAAATTTAAGCATCCTTTCAACAAGATTAAGTTTTGATGTTAGATTTATTTGTATGCAAAGAAATCTCACTATTTCAGAACATGATTATTTCATTCAATACCCATTCTGAATTGTATTGGTTATCATTGCTAAAGTGCACTAAAATAGATTGCATAGAGTGGCTGATTAACAAGTTTTCTGTACACAGTTTTTCTTGTGTACAGTGTTAAGCATGACTGCAGAATTCAAAGTTGCACAGTTTTCTTGTTATATTCTGATTCTTCCGTTTGAATGTTCAGATCTAAAAGAGTATTATGATTGTGCTGAAAACCTTTTTAGATTTTCTAACAGAAAGCTTTAGGGAATTAGTGGTAATAATGGCTTCTTTCATTCTTTTGGAAGTGTTGGGGCAAAATCTGAGTTTTCAAAAAATAGAATAATTCACATATTTCACAAGTTTCTATTTAGGGAATTCATTTTGGAAGGCAGGCAGTTTTATTTGTCATTGATAACTAGCAACTCCTATTGTAGTCACTGGGAATTGCAGTTAAAGACAGATTTTGTTTCCTTAGACATTCTTAAGAAGTTTAGTGAGAATTTGCTCAAAAAATGTTGGTAAAGCAAAATCTTTTTACATACTCAGTACTTTTAAACATTACCTTTTCAAAATCAGTTTGATGAATCATAACCAAATAGTAGAAGGGCACTAAAGATCAACTGAGCTGCTTTTTGACTAACATTTCAGGGATTGTGAAGCAGCAGATAGACAGCCATATCACAGATCCAGATCAACAGAACAGCGGCCTCTTCTAGAGCGGACCACCACCCGCTCCAGATCCACTGAACGTCCTGACACAAACCTCATGAGGTCGATGCCTTCATTAATGACTGGAAGATCTGCCCCTCCTTCACCTGCCTTATCGAGGTGAAAGATAAATCAATCAGACTAACTCCCCTTTGCCCTACCAGCACACCATTTTATTTTCCCAGCAGCTAAATGGTCTCTTCTATCATCCTTGGCTGATCACTAATAACAATCAATACTAACCCTTTCAGTGTAAGCACACTATTTATATTCAGTGGATATAATAGTGTGTGACTGCCATTGTAATTCGTTTATTAACTGTCCTGACTACATTTGTTTTGTGGTTTCTCATTTATCAGGAGTCCTGGGTAAATCCCTACATAATGCACCTCATAACTATCATGTTCTTCTCCTACAGAATGAGAAATTGTTTGTGTCCATTAGACATCACTTTTGGAATAATCATCATAATGACAATGAATAAAACTAGATATTTAGTTTCTTTCTATCACTACTAATATCATGTTTTAACCAGTGTTTTCTCTAGCTGAAATTTGAATTGTTCAGGGTTTTGTTTGTAATTTCATGTGACATTTACTAGCAAAGGGATAACTAATATAAGCCTGAGTAAAAATCTTTTTGAATCAAGGGAAAGAGGTTAGCATTGAAATCTGGTAGAAAGAAATATAAAGAAAGCATTACCTTTTTTTTTTTATTAATTTTGAGCTGCAAATGCCTCCTTTTGCTTTCATATGGATAGAATACTAATTTATTTTAGTAATTCCATGGATTTTACTTAGGATTTTGTGTGCATGTGTCTGTGTGTGTGTACATATTACACAAAAGTTTACATATCTTTGCTATTTAGATAATCATTCAAATATCCATATTTTGTCCTACTGTCTTAACCTTTTAATCAGCAGCTAAATCTCTTTTTAAATTGCTCTTATACAGCTTCGTATGAACCAAATTTATTAAAAATATTTAAGTCATTCTACTGAAATTACATATTAATGGTGTATCTTTTAGGTCACATCCTCGCACTGGGTCTGTCCAGACAAGCCCATCAAGTACTCCAGTGGCAGGACGAAGGGGTCGGCAACTTCCACAACTTCCGCCAAAGGGGACGTTGGAGAGAAGTAAGTTCTGTTTCTAATTATGTCCTATAGGAAATACACATGGAAGCTAAGGTGAATCAAGATTTTTTTTTTACTACCTTTGTGTTAGTTTTCTACTTTTAAGCGAATGCTTTGCCTGCATTTGGTAATAGTTCTATTTATAAACATTTATGAATATTGTAATTTTGCATTTAAATTTGTAATGTTTGGTGGTAAAATAACCTACTATTATTGCTCTTGCACATTTTTCATATTTGAATAATTGCATTTTAAGAAGTAAACTTAATGCTCTTAAATAAGCAGTTGGATGATATTTCTTTGCTACAATTAAGTTTATGTAGTTGTTGATAGTTATATAAAGTTTATTAGTAACTAGCCAAATCAATTTTCACACACTGCAAAGGACTGGTTAGCTGATGCACAACAATGGTGATCCTTCTCAAAACTGGAGTACCAGAAAAAGGTAATCATGAATGTATCAAGAAAGATGCATGTTGTACTGATATTTTAATATTTTCAAATTTTTGCATAAGGTGCACTATTTGCTTACACACAGATGAATATACTCTCCCTTTTCCTACAAATTATTGGATAAAGGACCTCTAAAAGCATGGGCAATAGATAGAATCTAGTAACTTTTAATGTCATCTTTAATGGTCCCTTTATTTGGTAACTGGATGTGTTTTGCCAAAAAAAAACCCCAACTGTATTTAAATCACCATTTACCTTTTCTTTAATAGATGATACATTCTGTGCCTTTGGAAATTTCTGTTGTTTTTAACCCCTCTGCTTTGGTTCCCTCTTTTGTTTTGTTTTTATTTTGTTTTCCTAGACAATGGAGTCAAGGAGATAGAACCTTATGAAGGTCTGTACATAAAGGAGGGTTTGTTTTGTGCTGACAGCCTTTTGGGGGGCTATGTAAGCAAAAATAAACCCAACTGCAATTGATGTTCCTTCATTGTATAGACTTTTATATAGAGTAAATTTTACTTTGTTTTATGATTTCTGATGAAGTAGTCAGATTTTGTTTTACTTGGGAATTATACCAAGGAGTTAAATTTCTTTGATTCAGACATATAAGAATGCAAAGAGTTTAACTTCTTTCAGATGGTAAGGTAAAATTTTGCTGTTAAAAATCTTAGTTTGCCATTTAAGCAGAATTATATGCTTTGTGCAAGACTTTAACCAAAGATATCAATTGCAGTCTGTGTTTATATCATTGAGGATGTACACCTAGTCAAGTCATACTTATCATCATATATTTCATTTTATATTTATGATGATTTTAATAATTAAAATTGACTTTCTAGAATAGTATTAGTGATTGTGGTTTGTACCTCTCACATTTTCATGTTGTAGAAAGACTGCTTTCAGTATATCACAGTTAAACATATACAGTTTAATTATCAAACACAGTCTTGGCTCGAGAAATTACTGAGTTATGATATAGGGGGTGTTACACAAACATCCTAGTGAACAATTAAAACTCCTCTATATATAGAATTCTAAAATTGACTTTGTGACTTTAAAGAATGACTGTTTCATTTATTGATGGCTTTCCAGCAAAAGAATAATGCCTGACACTTTTTAGTCCCTCAATAAGTATTTGTTGAATGAATGCATGAAGTATTTATTTAAAAACTAAAAAACCACTGCAAATAGTGTATAAAGTATCACTCATATAATCTTGTTATTCTTATATGTTTATACTATAATTTATTTTTTATAACCTCTTTGTAACAATTTTAAGGGCACTGCATTTGACCACCAGTATTTTTATTGCCTTTTTTAACATGGAACAAGTTGTATTCTTGTTAATTGTAGTTGAATGATTATCAACTTTCATCTCGGTTTTTTTCTATTTCCTGTGAACAGTGATATTAAACAACTTAGTGATGTTATGACTAGTCTATTATGCTGCCTGATAAAATAATTTCAGCAGCATTTCTATAGTTCTCAGTTATTTACATAAGAATGGGGACATGTAATTTTGAAAGTGCTTTCATAAGGAAAGTTCTGTGGTATGTATGAAATTTTTGGTTCCCCGAGATTTTTTATTTTTGGTTGTCTTCCTCTGCCAAAGTCTCACCTTTCTTCAAGTGTTTCCTGTTAAAATTTCAGTTCATATCAGACCAAAATGATCTTTCTAGTATCTGAAGGCTCAAAGCCATTACTATGCATGGGATTTACTCGCCAAGATTTTTCAAAGATCATTTTCCTCTCCAAGATACACATCATTTATTGGCATATAAAGTCAAAGTAGTTTCTCACAAATTTTAAAAAATATAATTTTAATAAGTTTTATAGCAATCATCTTGTAATATCAGCAGTTCCATTCTTTGTAATAATGCATACAAGAAAACTGACATAATTAGGGTTGATGAAGTTTATAATGAATTTGTTACAACAAACATTCTATTCACTATCTGTTTTTTATTCCCCTGCAACATCTATTAAAATCACAGTTTTCTTTACACATTCCTAATTGAGATTTTTCCAAAATTATAAGTAAAAGAAACACCAAAATCTCCCTTATCCTTTCCTGTATGAAATAAAAGGATTTTTTGGTTTACTTTTATGATTTTAGCAATGTTTTAGCAACATTTAGCAATAAATGTTGATATAAAGATTTAGTAGAGACATTGCATAATTTTTTTAGCTTTATTGGTTATATATATTGTCTTTTCAGAAGTCTTTAACTTCTAATTGAACTTAAAATTACATAACCCAAAATAGATTATCATTTGACAGTTCTAAATCAAATTATGTTTAGATTACCTCCTAATATGTTCTCAAAAATTATAGCTTTTAATGATCTTATTTTAGAATCAAGGTATTGACTTTTTTTTAACCCTGTCCAAGAGCTGAAAAATGAGCAAGACCTAATTTAATTATTTATGGTTTTAAGTATGTTATATTTATTTTGCTGATTAATTTAAAGTCATATATATGTTGGTTTAGACAATGGTACAGTATTTTGTCATCATCTGAGAACCAGAGAAAATAGGAATAATGTAATGAACATGCACTGTAGTAAGCCTCTGCCAAGCATTATTATTTTTTAATTTTCCTCTAACTTTGAGGTGCTGACATTTTATAAAAATAGGAATGAATTTATAGTACCATTTTTTGTTTCTGTAGAAGAAAAATTTTATTGTATTATTTTTCAAGGAATATACCAATTTTATAGACAAAATGTTTTGCCTATTTTCCATTATTATTACATTTTGCAAATATTTTAGGGGCCACAGTTTCTTCTTTATAAATCAGTCTTCATAAAAGGAAACAATGTGATAATTATAGGTATTTATTTGCTTTTTTAATGTGTCAAAAACTCCTTAAAAATAATCTGTGTCTCCTTTGAATTGCTCATTTTATCATGAATAATTTTTTTCCTTTCACTTAGTAACACATACATATCTGGTCTTCTTTTTCTTTACTTTTACTTGTGCAAATGCAGAAATTAATGAAGAAACTGGGCATATGGAAGATCAGGGGGCAGAAAAGCAGGGTGAAGAGGTCAAGGCAGGTCTGTCTATGTGTTTAAAGTAAAAAAAGTTAGTGCTTTAGAAGTATGACTTTTTAATTTTTTATAAGATTTTGGGTTCCAAATTTATAAATATACAATAAAGAACACATTGTCATTCAGTGCTAATTTTAAAATGAAATTAAATTTATTAGTAGAGAGATGTTACATAAACTACTTGGGTAACTTAGCAGAATATGTAATTTACCTAGTTGGGTATATTTCTTAATGTTTAAATTAAAGTAAAATTATAGACAATGACTCTGACCAAGATTTATGCTTATCCTTTACCCTAGCTTTACATTTTGTTCATTTACTTATTCAAACTATTTATTGAGCACCTATTAAAAAAATGGTCTTTTGCTACATGCTATACTAAGATTTGTTTAATTCCCAACCTTCTTTCTCAAGAACTTGATTTTCGGTAGAGGCAAATTACAAGTAAATATAGAACATAGTATAAATTCTATTAAAACGTATAAAGACTATCATCATTTTTTCCTAAAATAAGTACTATTAACTGTAGGTTCATCTTCATCCTGGTTCAGTATTACTCCAAAATTTATTGACAATATTTCTCCCCCCAAGATAACTCTAACTATATGGAAACCCTTTATTTTGTTTTTTTTTTTAAGTCTCTATTATGTTTGCATGTCACTTTTTGTCACTTTCTTTGTCAGAAAACATATAATCAGTAAATATATTTATATACTTCTCTTAACAAAAATTTTACTGTTTTTATTTGAAACTCAGAATTTGAAGTTTAATTTTCTTTGAACATAGCAGAATAATTTTAGATCTAATTTTTATCAATTGTTTAACTGATCATCATTTTTTATTCATGAATTGTAGAGTTTAAGTGCCTTTTGTCCTTCCTTTTGCCATTGTATGAGCACAATGCCATTACATAACTAGTGCATGAGATGTATTTTCATTAATGCATTCTCTGGGTGGTGTAAGACTGGAGATCTTTTACAAGGCAGTTGCTAATTATCAGTAACTATTTTTCATGTCATAAAAATGAGAAAAATCATCAGTATATCTGATAATGAAACAAATTTCAGTGCATATTTATAGAAGTATATAACTAACTCTATTGTGAATATCTAGTATTCCACAACTACAGTGTCACACATCTATTTACCTGGAATGGTATGGGAATAGCATTTTTATGGAAGACTATAAAAATGAGTTTCATTTTCATTTAGCTGTGCAGTTAATGTTTTCCCATTTGTCCATTCTTGTATGTCTAATAGTAGTTCATAAAGATAAGAAATTGGCTTCACAGTAATTTTATAGATTTTCATTAGTTTAGGAACTTCAGCAGTCATTAATATCACTTTTATTTATTTTTAGCTTCATTAACATAAAGAAGCCATTTTTTATGGACTAGTTTGTCACCTAAGCTTTTTCACAAAATTAATTAGTAAATTATATCAATTCTCAAATTAGCGTAGAAATGTAGCTCTGTTATCAACTTACTATAAAATGACTA